ACAGAATTGCTATTAATTAATTACTTTTTCAATTAATTATCGAATTAATTTGACGATTAATATAAGCCTATTCAATTAAAAATATTTTAATTAACCACTAATTTCAAGAAAACTAAGTAAAAATCATTCGATTAACGATTGATTTGAAGGAATTCAATTAAAAACTGTTAAATTAACAATTAAAACGAGCAAAAGTAATTAAAGATTATTCAATTAACAATTGAACATAGTCAATGTAATTAAAGGTCATTTAATTGAATGAATTTTAATTATATTTCTTGAAGTCAGTGGTTAATTAAAATATTTTTAATTGAATAGATTATATTAATCAAATTAATTAAATTATAAATTATTTAGTCAAATTATTTATTAAATATTGAGGCGAATTTAATTGATATTTTTACAATAAATATAATAAACAGTTGGTTTTATAAAAAGCAATAATTCTAAAAAAATGTATATTCCCTTATTCGAGAAAAATATTTTTGCAATGTAAAAATGTATATATTGGTACAAGTAGATATATTATTATAAAATATAAATATATTTTGTTTTTTTAGAAATTAATCTAGGTTTTTAACCTAGATTAATACCCGCGTTTTTACGCAAGCACAAAAATCAATGTCTTTTGTACTTACATGATTACGCTATTTGATCCGTAGAACTATTTCACACCCATCGGAAGCGCGATAATTTCCCCATCTCAATGATCTTTGTTTCAAGTCGTTACGACATTTACGAGTCGAATTGTTAACAATTATATCGATCCGCGTTCTAGATTATTCGGCGTTATCGCTGTAGCGAGCGGCGAATGAGTCACGCGACGCGCGGAATGAATGGAATGCGTTGCGCACACACGCGACCAGCCGACTCACTACTACTTCCCCCCCCCCACTACGCGGCACACGGAAGCCCGGCCCGGCCCAACTCCCCCCTCCTCGCTCATATACTCGCCGCGGTTGTTCACCTCGTTTTATACCATAGTATGCGCTTGCGCGAGAGCAAGTGCCAGCATCACACGAGTGCGAATTTTGAGTCAAGTGTCGCGGCTTTAAACGGCTATAACTCACGAATGAGTTAATGTAGCGATATTAAATAAAAATCATCATACCTCATGTAATCATCTAAATAAATATGCGCTTTTCATTTCAGCCAATAAATTTACATTTCCTAGCGAATGCGTTTCAGTTGTGTGATAGCCAACTTTGAGGAATAACAATCAGACTTTCAGTTTAAGTTCGAATCAGTCACTGAAATTTAATAGATATTGCTAATTAAGCAGAATTGCGAGTAATTAATTACTTTTTTAGTTAATTATCGCATTTAATTGAATGATTCTTAATTAGATTTCTTGAAGTCAGTGGATAATTAAAATATCTTTAATTGAATAGGTTTATAGTAATCGTCAATTAATTAAATTAGAAATTATTTACTTAAATCAATTATTAAAATAAGGCGAATTTAATTGATATTTTTACAACTCTGCATTTAAATCGAATAAATAATTGCTATTATAAAAACTAAAATTTTTTTAAGATTTGTAAAAAACGTATATTTTCTTATGTAAACAATATTTTAAATATTAAAGTAAATAGAAATATTCTGTTATAATATCCACGTCATAAATAATATAAATATTCACTATTTCCTAGACATGTTTTCTCTCAGTGTGTAAAATCGAAAATCGAAAATTTAAAGTGGGATATTGTGCGCAATCAGTTATATTTAAGTGCTTATTTTTTAAGAAAGCCAAGATAAATTCACGCGTAATGATTAAAAAATATTGTCACTAATTAGCTTCTAATTATCAGCTGATTACAATTTAATTACAATTATCAGCTAATTACAATTTTAAGCAAATAATTATGTTAGGTATCCAGGATGTAAAAACAAAAAAATTTCTAATTTAGGAGAAATGTGACTATCGTTTAAACTAGAACAAACGTTATACAGCTTTGAATCAATATCTCTTGTCACGTAAAATGAATAAAAGTAAAATTTGATGAATAATAAGAGATTTATAAAGACTGACTATAATTATTAAATGTATAATTTGATTATAATATAATATATACTGTAATTTACTACAATTTGTCAAATAATTGACAAATTATGAACGTTGGTTTAAATTCTGATTCTCTTTGTTCTCATGAAACAAGTAAGTTTATTAAATATTCGTTACAATTCGAAACCTCCTCTAAATGATTTTACACACTCAGAAATATATCACGTACCTCGTTGTCCTGCTGCCTCCGTCCTGACTTCTCAATCCAACATCCCGCTGCATTTTAGATATTCACTTGTAGCACTGACACTCGCGAATACTGACAAATGCGACAATTTAATCGGAGAAAAAATGTTAATTATTTAACACAATGCTGACAAAAACCCGACTAAGTATTGACTGGTTTAATGAGTAATTTCGAATTTTTCAGACGTAATGAAATGATTATATCGTTATAAAACAAATAAATCGTTATAATAATATTATTTGAATTTTTAGTTATTTAATTATTTAGTTGCACTGAATAACCCGAAATTATAGCAAAAATTTCATAACAAAATGTTTATAATATAATAAATGCAATTTATATTATAATATAATTTATAAATACTTAAAAATTTATAAATTTAAAAATATTTAAAATTTATAAATATTTAAAATATAAATATTTAAAATGAATAAAAATTTATAATTTTTAAATACAATTATATTATATTATAATACAATAAATGCAATTCGTTGTACTAAATAATCCGAAATTTCTTATTACACAATTCAATATTTTACTCACTCAACGCGAATTATGACTAATACACCGATACACACGTACTTCGCGTCGCGAATATGTGTCGCTCACGGGCTCGCGATGTACTGTAAAGCTTGGGCAAGTGCGCGACGTACGAAGGTAAGTTTAACCGCCTCGAAGGTCTGGAATATTTCGATAATGTTGATTGTTTTTATCTATCAGTCGTTCGATACTGGGTAGAGGCTATTTGATTGAAAAAATATTGTTATCATACTCTCACGTGTCGTGCGTTTTTTCATAAATATTGACATTACGTCATTGATCTGTATATGATACAAATTCCCGTGGAGTATGTGTATCGATGTGTGTGTGTGTGTATGTGTGTGTGTGTGTGTGTGTGTGTGTACGTGCGCGTTTCTTTTTCTCTTACGTATAATTCCCGTCAAATAATTTAAATATTCGTGGACTCTCGAGACATTTAATCTACTGATAATAATATAGTTTTTACGTCCAGTAAAATCTGTCAAACCCCAGCAACTTCGAACTACCATAAAAATCTATATTTTTAGACGCACTTTTTCCCAGAGATATAAAAAAATCACAGCTATGAAATAATGAAACGACAAAATTAAAATCTGTAAAGAAACTCACGATATTTTTTCGAACTTCTGTAAATTCCTTACTTTATAAAGTACTTTACGAAAGTTGATGAGAGTTTGAATATTCGTTTGGGTCTCACAGAGCCAATATTCTATGCGCAGGGTTAATTGAGTATCTTGTAGATATTACATTAAGGGAGTTAGTTCTGGTTTTTCAAGGTCGCAAAAAGAGTTATTTTTCCGAAATTTTTTTATAGGAGAATGATAATATTGGTTTAATTGTAATTCAGATGACAGTCATACTTTTTCTGAATAAGAAAATTTTTGCATTTCAAATTCTAGGAGAACCAAAATTACTCACACCCTTGTTTTTTCTGCGAGCTCCTAATAATCAGGATATACAAAAAAAGCATTCTTGTCATTCAGATCATAAAAATCTATATTTAAGATAAAGCTGAAACAATATGTTTAACGTTCGTATGGTTCTTTCGTTTCCCTAAAAAAATTCCGCAAAAGTATCTCTTTCGCAATTTTTCAAACTAAAATACTCCCTTAATTAATATGCTTTCGCTGAACACATCGTGTTCTCGAATGTCAGTGTATTACATTAAAAAGAAAAAAATACTTAAAATACAAAAAATACTTATTCAGTGTGTACTAATAATGTATTAGTTTAAATACATATATTTTTTATTTAAATAAAATAAACAGTTGCTTTTATGAAAAACTAAGGTTTGAAGAAAATGTATATTTTCTTAATCGTGAAAAATATTTTAAATAAATAAATAAATATGTCCTTAGTATCTACCGAATAAATATGATTTATTTTTTTCTTTTATAGTTTATTTCTTACATACTTTTTCAGTGTACAACTATTGTTCCAAGTAGAACGACGAAGTAGCTGGCATGCGGGGCCAGAATGCGAACATCGATTCATCATGTGTTTCCAAGTATGCGATATCATTTATTGTACCAAATGTTTTCAATTTACCCGACATATGACAAATTTACTGGCAATAAAGAAATATTCCCACGCGAAAAGCACATGAAATTACAAACGATTTTATTTTACTTGCCGGTCGTAAGCTGCACACGACGTGTCGATTAGCATGCTGAAAATATGTCAGCCTTTAATTTTGATATCTTTTTTTCGAATTTCAGTGTTCTTAAATTTTATGATCACAATTGAACACAATTAAATTTCGATATTATCTTTTCCGTGGGAAACTCAGGGACATTTATTAATGTTACTTAGAACTCAACGGACTTTTCTCCGCCTGCAAAATACTGAATTGAAGCTGAAATACCTCTTGCCAGCGAAAACTTTTGCCAACTAGGTCGCACAATAGAACGTAATTGAGAGAGAGATTAATAATGATTGCGGCGTACACGCGCCCGCGCGCGTCTTTCACGGACGATTTATATCGTCTTATATATTGTATATTAAACTAACCCCCTTTATATGTAATATTGTGCAATGTATCGCGCAAAAACTGCGTTGCGCAGACGTCTCTCACGCGAAGAAAGAAAAATATTTTTATATTTATTATCATACGATAAGGTGTCACACACGAAATCTCATTTACACAACTGAGAGATCACTAGGAAAAAAAAGTGGGTGAAAGCTGAGCAGCGTGTTAATTATTCGCAGGGAAATTTCCCGGGCAAGCTCGCAGCCGGGCGGCCGGAGGTGCGCCGATTTACGGAAAAATGGTGCACAAGGCCCCGGCAGGGAGCAGGCTGCGGAACGGGATGCGACCACGCCCTAGGACTTTGGAGGACATGAAGCTCTTTGGGACCGTGAATCGTTACATACCGTCAAACAGGCCACGCGTCAACTTCCGCGTCGGTGGCATCTCGTCTCCTCAGGCCGGCAGTTTCGAAGCGCTTAAGAACCTCATCCAGGCCGAAAGAGCACGTGAGCTGCGGGTTAGTCTCTCTCTCTTACTCACTTTTTCAGCTTATTTTTGCAAAGGATTCTTGATTATGACTTTTAAGTACCTTGAACATAAAATGAGACAATAAATATTATTAAATTTATTAAATATTAATTTATTAATTTCGTTAACGAAGATAAACAATACACTCTGAGGAAAAACACTTGAAAATTTATTTATGGAATATAATGTTTATTTCAGTGAAATATAAAGAGTGAAATTTCCGGAAATGATATTTATATTCCACAAATAAGTTTTCAAGTATTTTTTCTCAGTGTAGAACAAACTTTTAACAATTTATAATCCGCGATGAAATCTGGGGAAAGTCTTATTCGTAAAATTATTTATAAAAACGTTTTATTTGGAGAATCAGAATATTCATAAAAAAATATTGGAAAATCAGATATATGCAAGTATATACATATCTATACATTTTCAAATGTTTGCTGTAATTTTTCTCGCATGAAATGATATAAAATTCTGTCGTAGGTTATTGAGTCTTTCAAATAAATGTTTAAATTTACATAACAGATTATAATAATTATCACATACAATATATGGTTTGATTTCATATTTGTATTATTTATAATAATTGTAAGAGAATTATAATTCTGATAAAAATTATCAATATTAATAATGCAATTATTTATAAAAAATGATCGTGACTCGTGCAAATTGTTATTTAAACATGTCTAAAGAGAACGCAGTAGTCTTAAAATGTTACTCTGCTAATTATAGAATTCGGTGTTTATTAATTCAGTGCAGAGGTTCGTTGCGTTATTAACCTACAAACTCCGACTAATCCTTTAACTCGTCATACTTTGTGCGCTATTGAGCGAAAAAGTTGTGCAGTTCGTTAAACGTGCTACAAAACATTAAAGATGAGAAGATTCAGCGATATTACATTCCCTTCTGCATAACGTAAACATCGTCGTGTTTATGCTATTATTAAAGTAATCACGACGAAGTAATCTTTGTCGACTAGATGCTTCGTGATATGAACGCAAAGACTGTTTAAACGAAATGTGTGCTTTAGAAGCAGCATATCGAAGAAATGGTAGCGGAAGCTGCTTTGAAAGAAAGAGTGGCAGAAGAAGAGGAGCAGGAAGCGAACATACAACAATCGCGAGGACATTTCTCTAACCCAATACCACCCTTACAAATACCAAAAGAATATTACGACTACAACAATCGACGTTACATGTCAAACGTACCCAACAACGGTCAAGCTTGGTCGGTAAGTTTTTTCCACCACGAAGAAAACCTTCCAAAGGTTCCATCTCTCGTTTCTGTTGTCCTAAATCTCCGATGTTTCATTAATAGATATTATAGTTTTACGATAGATATTATACGCGGAGAGAATATTACAGCTTTCTTTTATATGACTTCTTTCCGATTTTACTATGTTTTTACAGTCCAGGAAAATAAACTGTCAGTAAAATCTGTCTTGCTAAAGAATAATAAATTTTAAAAACAGAGTAAGTATTTTAATAACAGATTTCAGTTTCTAAAATATAAGTAGCACATATGAAATGAAAGACTTTGCTATCACCAAATTAATTTTCTTCTATTTCTTAATTGTAATATTCTGATTTTAATGAAACTTAGGGAAAAGTGTTTATGTTCTAAAAGGACCATTTTGCTATTTTGTACGTACTATTCTTCTCAAAATTAATACTAAAAAAGCACATGAATCACATACTCCTACGATATAAGCCTATAGCCTCGGTTTCCCTTACATATATATCTCATTTCCCCTCTCATTTTTATTATCATTTTTTAATATTTTCTCCTCCAATAGATTAATCTATACTGAATTATTTTACGTATCTAATACGAGAGTCTTGTCTACATTTTTTTCGCAGAGGAACTGGCTTCACGGACAATATTTGGGGCGTTAGTATGCTGCGAACTGTTGCAAGGAAACGGTACAAATCCGAAAACTGCCGCATGCATACTAGTGTTTGTGAGCGCTCCGCACGGTGAATGCAGCCACAGTTGCAGCTATCAGCAAAATTACGACTGCGAGAACACGAGCAAGATTCATTTCGAAGATTACGCGTTTCGACGATCCAAGGCGGGTCCTGACCCCCTGTGCAAACTTTTAAGTCTTTGTGTTGACAATGTAAGTGCAGTTAGACAAGCGCGTTTTAACCTGATGTCTGCCAATATCGCGGGAGTTTTGTAAACACGCGAGAGGCGCAATTTCTTACTCTTCTTCCCCGGTCCACTGAAAATTTCAAGATAAGCGAGTTATGAGAGAGGACATGAACATTGAAATGAATTCAGTAGCACATATTGGGTTAAAAGCGTCGTAAAAATGCCTCCTCCTAGAATGTATCCGGATACCGCATTCATATCTCTAATGCGGATAGGATTTGACGTGCACGAGATAAACATTGATTTATACATCGAGTCGATTCGATTGAAGATGCGCATGCACCTCGTCGAACGACGCACCGTATATTTGGACTGTCCGATTCACTCTTTCGTGGATCTCAGCATCTTTTCGCGTTGGAAACTTGTAACACATAAAAAAGAAAAAGAGAGTATAAAGTCAGGATAGATTTCCTACGTCTACACGCGACAACTGTTTGGCCTCGGAACAGGTTTGGGAACAAAGAGCAAATTCTCCTGCATTGCATTCCCATGCAATCGTTTTCGCGATATCTTTAACTACAAATTTCTACGAAGAAACTACAAGTTTCAAAATTCGACTTCAAATCCGAAATTAAAAATTACAATTTCTTAAAGCTTCGCTTTAAATGCATCAAACATGATCGAGGTCTCTTTAACCGTATAAAATATTTTATTTAAATAAATTTAAGGGGGGATATATATATATATATATATATATATATTGCTCGTATAGACTCTAAAAAAAGTCTAAAATAATATAAAATACAGTAAATAAATTATGAAAATTTGATGTTAAAGTAAAAATATTATTATTCAACTGTATCATACTTTATCGTATATAAGATAAAATAAAGATTCAAGACTTGTAGGACAGGTAATACTCATTATACTGAGTAAAAGATGTTAGTAAACATAAATCGAAAAATTTTTAAATTCTTATTTAACTCTTTAAAACTTTTTAAAATTTATAAGTATTTTTCGCAAATATTTGTGTGCTTCCATTAATTACGTGTGCTGAATGAACGAACCAGTATATTGCCATATTATTACTTTGTTATTATTTCAATGAACTAAACATTAGAAATACGCTAATATTTCTATTTTCTACACAAAAATATATGATATCTGGGTGTTTATAAAAAGAAGGATTCGAAACTTACTAAGTGGATAGTAGATACTTATTATACTGAATAAAAAATATTTAATAAATATAGGTCGAAAAATCAACCCTTTCCGAATTACAAATGCTTTTCGGTTTTGGTAACGCAAGTTATTTGTGTGCTTCCATTGATCACGCGCTGTCAATAAACAAACGAATATCTTACCATATTATTACTTTGATGTTTTACAAAAGGTGTTTACGTGTCCTCTTTCCAAAATCTCTGGTCTTCTTCGAACCAGTTTCGTTTCTACACAGTAATATTTACGTTATCATGCTTAGTCATTTGTTTTCTTATAATCAGTAATCGCGCGCAGTGTGTCAAGAGACGCGCTAACAAGAATTCTCTCAATTATATCGGTTTATTATTCTAATCGGAAATTAACCAGATGCGCACTTCATGTCTTGCTAATAGGAATATTCTAACTGCACAACGTCTCTATCCAAATTGGAAAATCGAAAAATTCCATCTCTCACGCTGTTCCAAAAGTTTCATCAATGACTAGAAGACATGAATGAAAGACACGTAGAACGTTTTTTATAAACATTGAAGTAATAATTAAGTAATATAGTAATATACTCGTTTGTTCATTCAGCACACGTAATTAATGGAAGCACACAAATATTTGCGTTACCAAAACTAAAAAATACTTATAAGTTTGATTTTCTGACCTATGTTCACTAAACATCTTTCATTCAGTATAATAAGTATTATCTATCCTGTAAGTCTTGAGTTTTTATGTTTTAATATCTTATATATGTATGATACAGTTGATAACAATATATTTTTACTTCAACATCAAATTTTCATAATTTATTTACTATATTTTATATCATTTCAGACTTTTTAAAACTTTTATCTCTGAACCACAATAAAATTTTGAATACTTAAAGTGCATATATACAAAAATCAAAATTTTTTAAAATCTTGTATCTTTGTATATATACAAAAATCAGTATTTTTTAATTATCTTTCCTCTACTAAAAATAGCAACATTGTATATGTTCATAACAGCACGGTTTAAAATAAGCTCTTCTAAATAATAGGATAGTATCAAATAACGTATTAATGACGTATTATTGACATTAAAGACGACATTAATGCGTTATTAAAACATTATTTCACATAATCATGTTTGCTATAAACTTACACTTCAAAGTGGAATAACTTTTGAGATTCAGACTCTGAATCAATATCAAATTAGTTGTGACAACTTTTAAATGCAACACAGAATAATCTCTAACTTTTTCAAAATCTTTTCATTATTTTTATTAATATGGGTAATGCACTTTCACAGATAACTGGAACTTACACCAAATTCTATCTTGATTAAAAAAAGAATTATTCCAACCTTTTCTCACTTTAAAAAAACTGTTGCAGTCTGTTGTAAATAATAAATTGGATTTCGAAAGTATGTCGCTACCAGAAAATCGCCACTCAAACGTTCCGCGAATAATCCCAAAGCTTAAACACAATTCAACGTGCAGTTGCACGGATTGGGTCGCGCATCGCAGCTTCCACGTGCGGAGTGTTAGTTCCGCTTGGAAATCAATCAACTGCTTGATATATTATCGAGTGCATACTGCGCGCAATAACTTAATTCGAGACATTCGAAATATAATTTGACGTAAAAAATCTCTGGTCTTCTTCGAACCAGTTTGTTGTTGTTGTTCACGTTGCTAATTTAACATTTTAAAATATCGTTTCTGTTGTGTTCAGTGTTACGAGCCCGGAATTTAAATCCGAGAATAATGACCGAATAATCAGTCTACGCGTGTAGAATGAAATCGCGAAACTCGTGGGATTTAATAAACAGCAGCTTAATTTCGCGAAATGTCATTACGATCCACTTGCCGCACGATTTAAACGCATTGCGGAATATATTCTCGGGGATATTTGCATGCGTGAACATTCCCAACTGTTCCCCCCAGCCAAACAGAATGCCGTGTGTCCCGGCTCTTCTCCACACAAATACACGACGTTTCAAAACAGTATATACTTGGACAATAAACTAGTAAGACTTATATATCTAAAGAGAAATTTTGACATTGTACATTAATTTAAGAGACTCTAGTATATTCTTCGATGATCCATCACAAGTGCGCTGTATTGGTGCACGAGACACATTGGAACTGTACGAAAGACAATAATTATTCTTAAGAAAGAGTTTGTGCGTACAATACTTCTGTGTTCTTACTATGGATACACGACACTATATTGTGGTAAAAAAGAAAAAAAGGAAAAAAAAGAAAAAAGGAACGAAGGAAGATCATTTCTGACGTCTCACAAGTTGAGATTATATTGACGAATGCTTTCTCGCGAGAAATCACTAACGCTAGTTGTACATGCAGGCGACGTTACATCTTGACCCTTAAATGTTTCCAATGTTTCAATCGCAGTAATGCGTACGAAAATTGACATAAATGTGCCGCTTGTTATTGTCTTAAACACGATATCGATAATGTGAATTCGTCGTATGCATTCTAGAATATTTTACACGTAAAACCTATCGAGAAATATCTTCATTGGATTTGCAGTTTTGCCTTCCCTGACTAACGGTATATACTGCAGTGACAAATATCGATCAAACACTTAAGGGTTAAGGAGTGCACCTTAAACGACAATAAATGTAAACGTTTCTTGTAATCCTGTTAAAAAAAAAAAACTTGAGATCGCGTAGGATGACTATTCGTGTGGCTTATATTTCGTGACACTTATGCTGAAGAAATAATCACTCTCGGTGCTTTTGTAGCTCGTACAAAAGATATAAATACGTGAGACAGACCTGGATATATAATTATTATACATATAATAATTTGATATTAAACAACGGCCCCGACTGGAAAAACTTTATACATATATATTTGAAAAAATACAACATACACATGCATATATATACACACATCTATGTGCAAATATATATTATATACACAACACACACATAAACACACAAATATGTAGACATATCTTACGAATTCCCCCTTGACTCGCGCCTTCTCTTCAGGTTTTCGATGAATTTTGACAAATACTAGTCGATGAAATAGTATTTAATCCATGTCATTAAAATATTAAGTATATATTTATATTATATTGCGAAATATTCTATGGTCACATATTCTTTGCAATAGCCATGACAAATTTATATATTATAATTTAGAGCAGTATTCATACTTACCAATTATTTGCATTATTAATTGAAAGCAAAATAAATTGCTGATTCGCATTCGCAGACTGTGATTCAGCTATTTGGATCAATACTTCTTGTATAAAATATGTATAGATTGGCAGATATAAGAGATTTATAAAGCTATGATTATTTATTAAATAATGACAGAGAGTAGACATAAATACTGACTCGCGAATGTATCTTTAATTTAATTCGTAATTTGTATCACATTCTTGACGAGAGATTGATGCTATCATTAAGTTTCCGGAAGAAAAGCGCATATAGAACAATAACATTAACGCAAGGAGTTAGAAAATTTTAACGAATAAAATCCGACTGATCATTTAACCGATACAAAGTGAATTTTTTCCTAGCAAAAAGAATGTAATTTATAATTATCGAAATCTGTAATATCGGAGATTACACGAGGCATATAACAACTAGAGATAATATTTTCGCTAAGAAAATCCATTTTTCGAAGATTCTATTCTTCTTCGATCCTATGGAATGAAATATACTACTATGTATTGATATATACAGGGTGGCCCATACTACTCTTTACAGCTTATCTAAAAAATTAAGAAAAATATGAAAGTGATTCCAACAAAAATTGTAGGATATTGAGGGAGAAAAAATAGTAATATTTATTTAATTTTAAAATGACGTTAAAAATCCCTGTTCAGCGCACGCGCACGCGCTTAATTTTAATTTTTTAAATGAAATCATATTGCTTATTTGGGATAATCTGATTCCTCTGGTCATCCTGCATACAAAAGTATTAGGATAAAATCACAAAAAAGTGAATAATTTCTGCATTATTTTATATTTCATTTTGTTATTTTTCTTGTAAATTATTCACTTTTCAATCACTTCATCTGAATTCTTTTATACATGAAATGACCGGTAAAATCGATTGTTGTAAAAAAACAGGGTTTTTCAAAGTAATTCCAAGGTTAAATAAATATTACTATCTTTTCCTCCTTCGATATCCTATAGCTTTTGTTAGAAACATTTTTTCATATCTTTCTAAATTTTTTAGATATTGAGTTTGGATAAAGAGTTATGTGAGCTACCCTACATACATACATATACATATACACACACATATGTGTGTGTATGTGTGTATTCTTTGTGGCTCGTGTGTGTTATACCGAGCTAGCCAAAATCGGATTACATTAAGGTTCTATCGAAGCAAAAAAGAAAGGAAAAAAAAGAGAAACAATCAAACCGACTCGTCTTTCTCGCTTGCCCGAAACACGAATCAAGTCGGCTCAATTCACATAATTCTGTAGGGAATTACGAATTATTGACTTGACAAACATTTGTAAGAGCTCGATTTCTCTCTTCGAGATCGACGTCTACGGTTCACGTCCGTGACTTCACGCAACTCTTCGAGAAAGGCTGTTACTTACAGTACTCGATCATTAGACCGTTATTTTAAAGTACCGTCGTTTAGGCTGAGGTTCTTAGAGTTGAGACCCAGTGCCTGATACTACAAAACTAGAGACTGGTCGGATAATCTCGAGACTAAGGCTCGAGCGAGCTGTAAACTGAAGCTTGTAAGCTGCATTACTCTCGAATAATCTCGAATGTACCTGCTTTATGTATTTTCGTTTTGCAGCGCAAGCATCAACACGAAATAACGAACGGCGACCACCCTCCGCATCTCTTCAATTACTGTGAAAATTGTTGTAACGTAATGTCAATCAATAATCAATTTGAGAGCGTTTGAAACCGGAAATATGACAGCATCGCTGTGATCGCAAATATCCGGTAATAGATTACCGTGCAATTTATACAAGCAAGACAAAAGTTTACAAATTACAGAATATATAAGAGAAAATAAGTGTTTACAGCCGCTCGAGCTCCTTCTCACCGAACACTTGAAACCTCACACTGTGTATATGTGTGCTTATCTATATTTTATTATTAGATAATAAAAGTTGCCAAATACATAAATGACAATAAATTAATCATAGGTGATATTTTAAGTGAAATGAGAGGTAACAGTTAAGTACCCGTTGCATTCTCTGTAATTAAAATGAAAGACTTGCATATTGTTTAAGATATATAAGTGTCGCTCCTATGCGTATATAGCTGGCATGCACACCGGATCCTCGTGCATTTATCCGATGAATTAACGAGACGATATTACCTTATCGCCGATACTTGATCTAGAAACCTTAAATATTATTATAATATCAATTATGTCTATTGATAATTATAGAAGACTTCAAGCTAAAACGACAGACAATAATTAATGGTAAAATATATTTAATATTAAAGATCTAGAATTAAGGCAGACGAAAAGAGAGAAAAAAGAAGAGAGAGACAGAAACAGAGAGACGGAAAGAAAGAGAGAGAGAGACAGAGAAAAAGAGAAAAAAAGAGAGGAAAAAAGAATAGGAAAACTGGACGTATCTACGATAAATGTACACTCTTGCTTATTCCGGCACTTCTACATATCTATCGCGAGCGTGTGTGGCTAATTTTAACTTTAAGATTTTATTTTGTACGCGCGCCGTATGTCCTCTACATTAAGGCAACATTTGATTTTTGACAACGATAAAGATATTTTGCAACAAAACGAATACCGTAGAGCACGATATATCGATCATTGTTTATGCTTTTTATGCACTTTTATATAACGATATGTAAAGATCTTTAGTAGTCGTTATCTGCGCACGCGTCTCGACAAATTAATTATCGCGCGACTATGTCATTTACAAGAAAGACTCAATTGCGAGATCGCCAGGGTGTAACCAGCGCTCATATACGAAATGTGTATTAATTCTAGAAATGTACTGTATCTATATCGACAACAATGCTTACACGTGAACAAATCGCAGCCGTTAAACTGACGAAAGATTTACTTTGTAAATTAAACATGATAGTAATCTAATTAATGTATAGATTTACATCTAATGGAAAAAACACCTCGTAGTCGCGATTCCCCCCTGATGATGATTTTTTGCGAATTCTACAACGTAAAAATATATACCGAAGAGCGACTGAATAATTTCGTTGAAACCGTCGCTTGTTACCGCATAAAAATTAGCTTATTAAAGAAAAACGTGTGGTATAAGTTAATTATTCAGACTAATCGTTATATATCGAGATGTATAATTGTAAAAACATTGCGTTCAAAGAATTAAAAAGAAAACCGCATTATGCGTAGACGATGCTAATTTAAATATATAGGTTGTCTCTCTCGCGCAAGCATCGCGCATATTTTCTGCCGATTATTGGTTGACAATAACACAATTGATTTGAACAAAAATCTTAGAAACACTATGCTATGTACATATTAATTTTTAACATTGAATACGCTATAATAATTAAACTCAAATCAATATCTCGTTGCGATAAAAACTCCATTTAAAATCAAGGAAAATATTCTATAATTCATTATCTGAATTCGTAAACTTACCTTTATTCAAATCGTCACGTTGATTTCTATTTTTTTTCAATTCTACAGATATATCAACCCAGTAAACACAAAGTGTCATCCATATTACAGTGTCAGCTTCATTATATATTATGTATACTATTACTTTGTTATATAACAAAGTAACAGTTACGTAATATATCATGTGATTGAGCTGACATTGTAACATCGATGATACTTTGTGTTTACTGGAAATATATCAATATTGGAGCAGCAGTCTTCCTTTAAATTTAACTTCTGTAATATCTGTAATGTTTGAAGAGAGTGCGCGATGCTGACAGATCCTGTATATGTATACTACATATTATAGTGAGCGTTCCATACGTACGTGTACACTATTGAATTATATTTTATTTTTAAATATATGTCTCTCATCTCAAAAAGAAAAATATGTTATATTTCCTTTCACCTGGCCACCTTCAAAATAATACAAATAAGAAACATGATGATATAAATTCTTTTGATGTATCCAATTCCAAAATCCAATTTCATATCCAATTAAACAAATCACCAAATTTATATAAATTCCATGTACTCGTAAAGAAATACATAACTCTCTCACATTACCTAAAAATATTTATCATATTTATATCGTACATATATTATATTATTTTTCATTTAATTATATTCCATAAATGTCTCCATTATGCTGCAGCCAGCTGGTGTAGAATTTGAATTATTTTTTCTAAAAAAAACAGAGGAACTGTTAGGTAATAATTATCGGGCAAGGACATTGTGATTGGAAGACATCATGGAATCTGAAACGGAAAACGTAAAAGAGAAAATAACAGCCGCTCCAGGATTTTATTTAATCTGCATAGATTTATTTACATTCTGGTAATATAATTTACGACGCCGCGCAATTTGTAAGAATAGTAGATAATGATAAAGTTTCATATATTATATTTATAAAACCGCCTGATACTTGCACTCTCTAATATGTATATATATATATATATATATTTATGTATGTATGTATGTATGTTTGTATGTATGTATGTATGTGTGTGTATATATATATATATATATATATATATATATATATATATAT